CCCCCCCCCCAAATAGTATAGGTAAGTATGAAGGCCCCTATATTCAGAGGTTGGGCTGGGAGGAGACGAGCTCGTAAACCCTCAAGTTGCCAACAGAGCCGCTCTCAGAGGTTCACTGCGAAGTCTGAAGACACCAAGCTCTACGAACGCCAGTCCGGGCAACAAAGAGAAGATTGTAACGTCGGGCAATGGAGCCCTTTCCAAGTTCCGATACTCCTCGATCTACTTCTAGGGCTCCAGTTACCTGGATGATAAGTTGATTATATGGTTGGTAACCTACTATCTAGGCAGGTCAAGCCCTCGGGTAGTTCAAAATCGCACCTGAAGCCAGGATTCGTCTACTTCCGGCAAGTAGGGGCAGCTGAACCATCGATGTCTGCACCCTTCTCGAATTGCCAGCGCTTCCTCCGAAATGCGGTTGGCCTTTCCTGCGCGCTTGAACAATTTTGTTCAAGCGTTTTTGGAAACATGAAGCCAGTGCGCACATGCCATCCGAACCAAGATGCAAGCAAACTAGGCTATGACAAGATCTCTAGCAAAAGAAGCCACACCACCCCTGAAGCCGAAAACCCTGAACCCTTTTGCCCTGAAGCCCCCAAACCTCCTAAAACCCCCTAACACCGAGCAATCAAAACCCGCAACTCTACAGTCGCTGACGTTGATTGGCCGACAAGGCTCCGCCAACAGGCAGCCCCCAAAGCTGTGCCGGTGCTAATGCCAGATCTAGTTGGTAGGTGAAGAGGAAGGGCGGCATGCAGAAGAACCTATACCACATGGCGTCACTTTCGTGCACCCAACTGGCAAACATGAGAGAACAGCATGGCATTCACAAGTTGAGCTCAGAAAGCAAGAGACCGCAGGCAAAATGCTACACATGATCAAGGAGCTGTAGGTTTCGGGATTCGGGGTCAAAAACAACACTGATCTCAGGCGAGGAGCGTAATGTTCAAGGGCAGGAAGGCATTGTCCCAGTGCCTAAATTTTCGCAATCCCACGACCCCTTCATGGCAGTTACATGCAGCATTGCCCACACGTTTCACTTTCACGGCCATGTAAACTACATTCTACTATTCTTGCCATACTAAACTCTGGGTCTGGTTTGCACAAACTTCGGAACAAGCTGCAGCCTAATGCCCTGCCATCGCAGGGTGGCACTCCGAGCCAGGGACACACCACCCACCTCAGCGAACTGCAATGCAAGATGCATGCATGCAGAGCACTGGGGTACGGCACGGTACTATGTAAACAACATAAACACGACCCTTTCTCGCCCCTTACGTGGGGGGTATATGACTCCGAAAAGTAAGCCTGCATGGAGCAGTATCCTGCTGCCTGAGAAGAACTCTCCTTCTTTAACATCAAGCCGATCAGAAAACTAAGCCAGAGTACGACGCCTAAGCCTTTTCACCTTTAAAAGAACCGTTAACCCTAAATGAACCCTAAATCCTTCAAGGAACCCTTGATGTAGACCCTAAAACGGCCAAAGGTACGAAGGCATAGTACGCCGCCACCCAGAGGAGCCTTTCCCGTGTGGTTGCGATCCGCAGCGCGAGCTCCATCTCCTTTGGGCTTTGGGGGTTCCCTTAAGTTAAGGGATCATCTCAGGGTTTAGGGTTTAGGGTTTAGGGCTTCCTAAACCCTAAACCTTAAGTTAAGGGGATCATCTCAGGGTTCAAGGGATCCTATAAGAGTTCTAAAAAAGTTTTGGGGATTCAGGCTTAAGGGTTTGGTTTCGGGCTTTGGTTGAGAATTTTGGTCTAGGGCATTAGGGTGTAAGGTTTATGGTTTAGTCTCTTTGTAAAGTTTTCATCCATAAACCCTAAACCCTAAACCCTAAACCCTAAACCCTAAACCTTAAACCCTAAACCCTAAACCCTAAACCATAAAAGGGAACCCCAGACACGCAGAGGAACCCTGAACTTGTAAAGGAACCCATCAACCCTTTAAGGAAGCGGTTTAGGGTTTAGGGTTTAGGGTTTAGGGTTTAGGGTTTAGGGTTTAGGGTGAACCGGTCATAGTTAGAATCGGCTTTGGGGCCCAATATACTTTACTTATAATGAGGAACCCCCCCCCAAAAAAAAAAAAATAGTATTGGTAATTATTTAGATCCCGACATCAAACTGATCACGGTTTGACACAATTTAGCGACCCGCAGACTTGACGTTCACATAGCAGGGGTGCTGTGGTACCATGGTCCCAGTTTGAAGTACTTTTAATCTAGATGACTCTTTTCCGTCTGCCGTCTGCGGTTATCGTTTGCGGTTTCGGGCTTGGAGCCGTTTGGGATTTAGGGTTTCTCACATGGGCTCAAGACCCCTTCAATCAGGAAAATATGCGTTGCAGGGTATGTGTAGGTTGTTTTTGAAGTCGGGGCCTTTTCGGGAAAAATATTGAAAATAGGGTCCAGAGCTTAGGGAGCAGATACCTAGATCACTCACGAGAGTACGTGACCCTTATTAATAGGGACCCCTCGCATGGAATCTAACTTGCAGAACTGCCCTCCTGCCTCCTCTTGCTGATATAGTTGAGTAGTTCTGAGAATTGAGGCAACGACACATCCTGAAGTCTACGAGGCCGTGTTCCCTAACCCTAAACCCTAAACCATACTGGAGCCTCAACCCCTACATGAAACTCAATTCGAGTCTCACGGGTCTTCTTTGTCTGCTTGATGTCAGCCTCGTGCAGTCAGGATGCCACGTCCGTTCAGAGTGGCTGAGGGTTTAGGTTTGGGGCTTAGGGTCTAGGATTCTAGAATTTCAGCCATGTTCTAGTAGACTATATGGGGACTACGACCCTAAACCCTAAACCCTAAACCCATTAAGCCCTAAACCATTTCTAACCCCTCGGGCCCCCGTTGCACTTGAGCCACAGCGCCCAAAAGCCCTCAAAACCCCAAACCCATAACCTCGAAGAACGAACCCTGAGGCTCGCCTTATAGTAGGTTATGGTAGGCTTTAGGACAGTATCGTATGCAAACCCCAGATCTTCTAAGCACGAACAGACTAGAAACCATAAACCACTTAGGCGCTAAGCGGCTACGCCGGAGACGAGGTGCCTTCTACCCAAGCCTAATTAGAGCAATTATATCTTCTGGAAGCGGGACCAGGCGATCATTGTAAGTAGGGGCCCGAACACCCTTATACTATAAAGCTTGGTATAAACATATGAACCTTACATTACACTCGTTTTAAGTGGGAAAGGCAATGAACCCTGTTACGGCAACTGGGTATACTCATGCCCTAAACCCTAAACCCTAAACCCTAAACCCGAAACCCTAAACCCTAAACCCTAACCCCTAAACCCATACTAAGCTCGTCTAGGGCCCGTAAGGTCGGGTCGGCTGTCGGGCTTCAGCCTTTTAGGATTGGTTTTTCACGGCCGAGGGCCAGCTTTAGGACGGTTTAGGGTCTAGGGTCGGTGGTTTAGGGCTAAGGGCTGCAACTCGAGTCTCTCTCTTCAATCACAGGGCCCAAAGAAGTTGAAACTTTCTGAGATAAGCCAAACATATATATTGCCACGAAGTTGAAAGTTCTGCTATTGGAGAAATAAAGAGCTCCATCTCAACCCTAAGCCCTAAACCCTGAAACCCCTAAGGCCTAAAACCCTGAACTCTATGTGAAACCTGATCCTTTAGACCCTAAACCCCACACCCGTAACCCCTACGTAAACCCCTGAAGCCCTTAGGCCTAATTCCTAAAACCCGAAACTCCCTAAACCCTAATCCTTGAACCCTCCATGAACAACAAAGTGACGAAAAGGAACCGAGCGAGGCGAGACCACTCACTCCCGAAACCTTATTCTCCATGGTCTCGCTGGTTGTCCAAATTTGGGTCTCTTCTGGGGCTCCCAAACTATACGGTGCCGTGTTAAGAACCGACTTTTATCAGGTTCCCGAACGAAACCATGGTTTTTACAGTTACACATATAGAAGCCCACCCCTGAGTAGACTAGGCTTGTAAGGGGTTCCGCAGGAAGTTACTCCAGATATATCATGGACCCGGAAGACGTTGCAAATACTAGCTGTTCAGACCCCCGGATAGATCATGGACCCCCAAGGAGCAGCCGTACTAAATCATTACCAGCAGCTTCTTAGACCCCCAATATACTAATCCTAAAGGTGGGCCCTGTTCTGCAGCAGGGCACCAGGCGCGAGTCCAGGAGTCCACTTCGGATACGATCTTCAAGCAGCGACACCGCAGCACCCATGCCAGAGGACCGGAATCGGAACTCTGGATGTTTACACACCCTTTTAGCGTTCGGGCCTGCGTATGTTACAGACCCTACACCCTACCAGCCTTCCTTATTTTTTGCATGTGTTTGCGCTGGTACACTCTTTGAGTTTAGGGGTTGCATGGAACCCGAAGCTTGAGTCGAGCCAGACGCAATCGCGGCAGGCTCATACTTCGGGACTGTAGGTTTGGGAGTTTTGGCTTTGGGGTTTGCGGTTTATCGCTTGGCGTTGACAGTTTGGGTTCAAGGGTTTGGGCTTAGAGCTTTTGGGGTTTAGGGCTTAGGGGTTTAGGGTTTCGGGCTTAGGGGTTTAGGGTTTCGGGGTTTGGGGGTTTAGGGTTTAGGGGTTTAGGGTTTAGGGGGTTTTGCAAAGACTGGAAAAATATTATGGAGCCCCCAAAATAGTACAGGTAATCATTTAGGGGCCAGTACATCCTACACCCCCCAAACCTTCGCATCCAAACGTGTAGCAGGCGTGCAGGATAATTGCCTGCCACAGGAAGAAGCGTGCCTCGAGACAGCCGTAAAAAAGTTCATAATTCAAAAACCCTAAACCCTAAACTCTAAAACCCTAGACCCTAAACCCCTAAACCCCAAAACCTTAAACCCTAAATCCCTAAAACCCCTAAGCCCTCAACCAGCAGGAGATTGAAACAAACGTCAGGGGATTCCTAATAGGATTTAGGGTTTAGGGTGTAGGGTTCCTAAATGCATGTCGTGGGGAAAGTGTCGGCAAGTTCTGCAAGTAAAGTTTCGTATCTGCAGTTTGCATCGGAGCGGGTTCGAGGGTTGAAAGTTGAGTCGAACCCAGAACCCTAAACCCTAACACCCTAAACCCTAAGCCCTAAACCCCTTACCCGAAGCCCTAAACCCTAAGCCCTGAACCTAAAGCCCTGTACTGTACCCCTAAACCCTAAACCCTGTACCCCTAAGCCCCAAACCCTGTACCCCTGAACCCTGAACCCTGAACCACTAACCAAGGCCGCCCCTACGACACTTTGCTAAACTACACCCCACTAGACTAGACTACACCATACCTTACTATACAGTACTATAGTGTACTATGGTATATTATAGTATACTAGAGTATACTATAGTATACTATAGCATGCTACACTACAGTACACTATAACAAACTATAGTATATTGTACTATACCATACTATACTATACGATGCAAAAAAGTAAACTCCCGTAAGGTCGGGATTAACGTTTCAGACCTGAAGTAATGTAGGGGCCTCGATAATTGGTGGATTTATTTGGGACTAAAAGCTACCCCTGACGAATCCGAAACGCTAGCTTCCCCTAAACCCTAAACCCTAAACCCCAAACTCAGTAACCCCCTTACCGGAAGCTCTAAACTCCAAACCCTTAAATCCAACGGCCCTAAACCCCTAGCCCTAAACCCCAAACCCCTAAATCCCAAACCCTAAACCCTAAACCCCAAACTCTAAACTCTAAACCCTAAACCCCAAACCCCAAGCCCTTAAATGCAACGGCTCTCTTTTTGGGCGGTCTTCAAAGCACGGTCAACGCGAATCCCGTCCGATGGAGCGACTACGGGGTCGATCGCCTTGGGTTTTGGGACGGTTTAGGGTTTAGGGTTTAGGGTTTAGGGTTTAGGGTTTAGGGGGACCCTTGGGGTTTTTTAGGGGCTTTATGAGACTATATAAGGGGTATATAAGGGTTATATAGGGTATTAGGGGTTTAGGGTTTTGGATAGTTTAGGGTTTAGGGTTCAGGGGTTTTGGTGGGTTTTAGGTAGGGCTTAGGGTTTTAGAGTTTATAGGGACTGGTTTTGCTGGGAGTTGGGGTCAAGGGCTTGGGGTTTATAGGGCTTAGGGTTTTAGGGCTTACAGGGTTTATACGGTTTAGCGCTTAGGGTTTTAGGGCTTA